AAAGAAACAGCAAGTCTCGAGAAGTCGAACTACTAATGGCGTCTCGAACTTATTGTTTTGACTGAGGCCATCCCGAGCGTTTCGCAGGGCGTGCGAAGGATATCAGCGTGTGGCACAATTTGTTGTCCCACACGGATCGGGGAAGAGTCATTCCCCGATAAGCCGAATCTCGGTGGCTTTTGACCGGTTGATAGTCAAGGCATAATACAACCTTCGGAAGTGTTTTGCGCACAATCAATCTCGCAGAATAGAGCTGTTATGCTCACGGCCTTTCCTATTTCACGAATATGAATCACAAATACACGCGTGAGGAGACAAATCTCGCCGAAAGCTTCGCGTTAATGGTATGGCGAGTCACCAATACAGGCGCGAAGCTATTCACCGAATGGAGTTGTACATGGCATAGCTCGTATGTAGAATGCTCAATCACGCAGTCGCGTAATCGGCACTCCCAAAGTTCAGGGTATGCAACTGATTGCGACGTGTAGAGGATCTACCACACAGTCTAACGTACTACGCTTGGCAACCCGCACAATGCGGAAGGTCGACCGAGGCTTCATGTTCTGCGCGAGAATCAGCATTAGTCTGCGATGCAAGGCTCAGACAAGGCAAAATTGCAATAGTGGATTAAAGTCAAGAGCCGCCATGCGCCATCTGAAATTCCAATGGAGTTTGGGGCTTTGTTTGTCGCAGAACAAGATAAAGCCACACGTGTCCCGATATTTGGCGCGTGCGTGCTGCACGCACGCAGCGTGCAGTGCCGTCAACGAACCGGATTCCTCCGATATATGTGTGTCTTCTGTGTTTTGGCATACTATTTACATCAATCGCCAGTGGTTGGGAAAGTCAAAAATGATCATCTTATTCAGCTGTCACCCCAACATCTCCAATGCAACTTTTCACTTCCGCCCTCGCTCTCCTCCTCATGGTTATGGCCATTACCCGTGCCAATCCTACCGTTCGCTGTGACCCGGAGGACCCCAAATCTTGTCCGGCTTGTTATACTTGCGTTTGCCTTCTTGGTGGCTGTGTGTGCGAGTATGACCAGCATATGTGTACTACGGTCCATCCATGATGGTGAGCATAGACAACCACTATCCCGGGGATTTCCCGTTCTTAAGGTCCTCACACTCATCTCGATGATGAGTTGAGGATTGCTGAGTTGTCCCCATCATATCTCCGTATTCTTTCCATCGCAACTCCATGCTATGTCTCCCACATAGATAATATCTTGAATTTGATCGGCGCATACCAACGACTTTCGGTCCGACTTCTGTACAATACGATTTCGTCAATGATTCATTTTGAAGTCTTCAGTCTCAAAGCTTTGCTGGGTCTGATATTCACAATCACCGATATATTGAGTTGGTTAATATCGTTGTCCTGGATAATTTATAATATGACAGTTTTGGCTAACATATCATTCCTGAGATCCACAGGATAGTAGAGGACGTGCTAGTAGAGGCACGAATGAGGTGCATCCTCGAGCAGGAGTTGATCGATCTACCCTTATAGTTAGCGGTCCATAGTCACACAAGTGACTTGTGACAAGTCAGCGTGCAGCTCCTTCTCATTTGACCTACCAACTCCCCAATGGGGAGTCCCCATGTTCATCCCGAAGTTAGAACTGAGGGGAGACGAACTATTTATCTCCTCTATGAATTAGCGGTCGGAAGTGAACCTCACCGAGTCGATGCTTTGGAGATCTTTCATCTCAGTTGTATCGCAGTACGATTATTCCCAATTAGCTCCGTTACCCAAAAATGCCCGCCGGCGGGAATCCAGAAAGGCCATTTGGAACTTCGCGATTTTGGATGACAAACTATGGAGAATGATGATTTCTCTCCACATTTGTCAACTTGCCACGACTATTCTCTACATTATCCCCAATCATGGATATCACCGATATCGATGTCGACCTTGAATGGAAAATTATTGCAACGGATGGGTTATTCATTCATTATTTACTGTTATTACTCCGGGTGAACGCACGACTGTGTATGAATGAATCGGTTCATGATCATGACATGATCATCATGTTGTGAATCCTATAATGTACTATTTCCTACCAAGGCGCTCGCCCTGTACAGATCAGCTATACACTCGCTCGTTGGCATCGCCAATCTTCTCGAAACCAATGACGAGTTATGGAGCTCCGACACCATCCGAGCCAACAATGATACCATTGAAAACCTCCTCAAGCGAATCACTTCTACGAAGCAAGATGATGCGGACCTCTACGAGAGCGCGAGGGAAACTGTTAATCTGAGTGACGTGGATTCGGACTCCGAATTTCGGAGACTTGCGAGCTGTAATATCCCATCGATTCGGCTGAGCTTCAGCCGCTGAAGGCAGTCTGATCACTTCAGGGCGTCGTTCCTCCTATCACTTCAGGAAGACCCCTCAGAACTTCTGAGGGGCCTTTCTGAGTCTGAAGATGACTCGGTGGTGAGTATTCCAGGAGAAGGGCGACGATGGATTGATGAGGTAGCTCTGACCTGGACATCAAAGGTATCCACACACCGTATACGGACGCTTTCCGATTCGATTATAGCATCTTATGGATCAGTCACTGATCATCAGTGCATCCTGGAGGCTGCGAAGCTTTCTTTTGCTCATTTATATGCAACTCACAGGGCTTCAATCAATCAAATCCTTCGTTAAGGAGGCGGAAGCATTCGAGAAATTCGAGGCAGCACTCCGAAGGAAGGAACACAGTGAGAAGGATAAAGTTGTGGCGACTCCTCGGATCTTTTCTTCCGTAGCATCAGGATGTGATTGCGAGTTGTCGCGAATTGTAATCATCTTCTGATGATCAACTCATCATCTACCGCCTATGTCAGTGTTGGGTTGTTCACCAATGGTGATTGGCGTGAGCAAGACGATGTCGAGATCGAGTTGACTAATATCCTTTCAACTCTGGTGGCCAAGATCTCTGCCTATATCCAAGGTCTTGGTATGTTCTAGCTACGTGATTGCTTGCCATTGTAGTAGAGTCCAGTCGAAACAAGGCTACGAAACGGGCGCTTCGTTTACAACTCTTCGGGATGGGGTTGATTGCGTACTGTCTCAATAATACTGATGACACGACGCGAATCACACAAAGTATGCTCCAGGACTATCCCATTCAGGGAAACATATGTGATGGGGCCGCTATGCCTGAGGACTATCCCATTCATGGATACATATGGGATGGGGCCGCTATTCCCGAGGACTATCCCATTCAGGGATGCATATGTGATGGGGCCGCTATGCCTGAGGACTATCATACATCGGACCGAGGCTCGATTGGATCGAGATATCGAAAATCGATCGATTGTTCGGTGCTAATCAATCGAGGATGCTGCGGCGGGCAGA